AATAAATAAACAAATCTTAAAAATCAAACAAACAAACAAACTCAGTTTATGCTATAGCATCTGAGAAACCAAAGAAAGGTAAGACAAAGACAAAGTGTAAGACAGACCTTGGAAAGCAGACAATAGATATGGGGCATTCGGAAGTGGAGGAGGAAGAGGAGAGAGTATAGGAAACTGGGGTAGAGGAGAGCCAAATGGACTATGGTGGAGGAATATGGGTGCACTGTGGAGGGAAAACTATGGTGACCACACCTGAAGGGGAAAGCCTACATTGTGAAAAAATTAGCAAGGATGTTTAAAACAATAAATATATGTATACATATATTTAAAGCTGTATCATCTGTAAAATCATCCCTAACTTCTACAAGGAGCTGTAGGGATTTCAATCCTCTGTTTTCCACTGAAAGTGTAGAAATAATGTGATGATAGTGAAACTGATTGTGCATTTATGTAAATTTTTGAGAGTATATATATATATATATATATAATACTTCATTTTTGAATTCTTATAACATAATATAGTTTTTTGCATGCATTAGGGACATGATAACTACTTGTTGAAATATATACAACAAGACTTGGTGCTCTTGCTCTCACTACAAAATAAATATAAACTAATTATTAAAAATTGCCTTATTTTCAGGTGAAAGTTTCATGTTTGGTAGTGCAAAAAATGACATTATTCTTAATACTTTTATTTTAAAGTTAATTTATAGATTTGGAAGTGTCCTTTGTAAACTGAGAAGAACTGAGTTTTATTGATAAAAATTCAAATTATATAATCTATGTGAAAAAGAGCTTGGGGAGTATTTTTAAATCATTTGTGGTTTCTACATTGATATATAAAAAAGGGCAATGTTAGAGAATTAAGGAGTTTTTAGGAGAACATGTTAATAATAACTTGCAAATATACACTGCATATAAAGTACTACTTATTTAAACTTGTATGCTAACTTGGATAGTAACTGATTGAGTTGAGGTGCACTTTGTTGTTGCTACTTATTCATTCCACATCTAATTGTTGGAAAACCTTGGGATTCATCCTTGAATATGCTATCTGCTCCACCTCCATCATTCCCCACAAAATCTCATCTAGCATCAATCTATTTATATCAACTATTTATATCAACAATCTATTTATATCCCCATTTATATCAACAATACAGCTACTCCATACATTCCAGAGTCTACATCTAATGGCTGACTCAAAAATCTCTATTTGAATATCTACTGAAACAATGCAAATCTCATTGTTTGATCCCCAAAGTAAACCTCTTCATCCCACAGCATTCTCCATTCAGAAAAGTCATCTTTTCCTGATTACCACACACTCACTTTAGTTTTTCAATTACTCTTTCCAATTTTATTCTAATAGCTTATTCTGTAAGGGTATAATACATAACAGATATTTGTAGTGTGTATATATATGTGTGTGTATGAAAAAATATATATATATCTCAAACATTTTATTTACATTTACTAAACATTCTTGCTGCTGTCATATTTGGTAGATTTACAGTTATTTCTTCCATGTGTTTGCTTCTAACTGTGCATGAATAGTTTTATATTTTTCTTCTTGATGGAAGAAAACAACCCTTATTGCTTCTTGTATAGAATATGAATTTAATTTAAATTATATAAAGAAATAGCCCCAATATGTTGGTTTTAAAAATGCATGTCAACATTTGGCATTTGGATATTCTGTGTAAATGCAAGTGTTTAGCAGAATTCCAATTGAACAAATTATAGTTTTTGACTATAATTTATGAGAACTATGTAAATATCTACAACTTTATAGCCAGCATTTCCTAAATTACTCATGAATTACTAATTGCCTTTTTCAGCTACAGAATATGCAAATATATTTTTGCAGAGAAGAAGTACTAAAAGCTCCAAGGGCCATTTGGTTAAAAATAAATAAATAACACTAAATACTTTACCAACAGGAAAAGACACAATTTTCCTTTCACCTTTAATTTCTCCCCAATCTATTTTAGTTGGATGAAAACTTAAAATTTCAAAGAAATATCACTGAAGGTATTTCTATCCTTAAAGTTGTGTTGAATGCATAACCACCTTCATGAAAAGCAAGGAACTCAGTATAAAGAACTTAGTCTGACAACAATCAGATCTGGATCTGATTACTGCCCCTATCCCTAATAATCTAGGACTTTAAACAAGTAACTTAAATTCTCTAATCAAAAGTTTGATCATTTATAAAAGTAACATAGTAATATTAATGCTGACATCTTTAATGAAAACGTATATTAGAACACCAATTCAGTGCCCAATGTTTAAAGCTTTGTTCCTATGATAATGGTAACATTGGTGATAATGCCTGACTTTGGCTTGCTAAGATCTAATGTCCAACTATATCTCTTTCAACGGTACCATAGCAAGATATTCTGTTACTTAGAAATGACTTTATTTAAATTTCACAATGTCACTAAATTATTTGTGACTATGCTGATTTAGTTGGAGGAAGAAAAACAAATTGCAGAGCTATAGCATTTTAACATCTTGTGCTTTTATTAAAAATAACAGTATGTGGAAGAATATAAAATTTTTAATCAGAAAGGTACACCTGAAAATGCACTCCTCTTACTAACTTTGTTACTTTAGGATTATCCTTGTCACAAGTTCACAATTCTCACTTTGGAAAACTTACATGAGGATAAAAAAAAAAATAGCAGAATTCATAGTTCCTGATTTTTCTATTGAACACATATTGAATATCTAGTGTGAAATCCATGACTCTTTTCTTCATGGAGATTACAGTCAGAAAAGGAGGTCATCATTAAAATGACACTCACAGGGCCTCCCCGGTGGCGCAGCGGTTGAGCACTGGGTTGCGAAGCTGCCCGCAGCCTCTGCGGCGCCGGTTCGATCCCCGGCTGCTCCCCGGCCACCGGAGGAGGGTCCCACATGGCGCGCAGACCTCTCCTGCCGCCCGCTGCTCCCCTCAGCAGTGTACTTCGGTCCTTCTGCCTGCTCTGCTCCCCGCTCTGGCTCTGGTGAATTCTCTCACCCTCCCACGCTTCTGACTGTACCCAGTGCATGTATAAAAACAAAACAAACAAACAAATAAATAAATAAAACATGCCTCTATAAAAAAAAAAAATGACACTCACAATGTTAGAACAAATGAGATATAGATACTATCAAATAATGGAAAAATAAATCTGTAAAATTCAGTTGTAGATTCTCAGAAGAGACAATGACATTTGATTCAGGGTTTAAAAAAATTCATCAAACAATTGGAAATATATATAATGTTGCAGAAAATAATGAACAGAAGCAAAACAGTTCTCCAAAGTAGTTTTTCACAAATATATTTTTGTTTTATATTATTTAATGTAAGGTGACATTGGATTACATCACTATACATGATTCACAAATATAGGATCCAAAACCACGGGTGTATGTTAGCATACAAACCTACCACCAAGACATAAATAATCCACCCATCATACACACCCATACCCACACATACAAACACACAGAATAGAATTATATTCAGTTAAAAATATAATTCCACCCATTTTCCATTGGGTAGTAGTCCATAATCCATTTCTCTCTACCATCACCTCCCCTTCTGGTAGCCACAGTTTTACAGTCAGATTTCTAGGATTTTTTTTTTTGGGGGGGGGTTGTTGTTGTCTAAATCTTTGAGTTGTTTCTCTCCATTCTATGACTAAGAGAAACCATCTGGTATTTAGCATTCTCCTTCTGACTTATTCCACTTAAGTGTAATGTCCTCTGGTTCCATCTATATTATCACAAGTGGCCAACATTTTTTAACTGAATATAATTCTATTCTGTGTGTTTGTATGTGTAAGTATGGGTATCGAATCTTTATTCAAGCATCTGTCCCTGATGAGCAGGTTGTGAAGTATACATTTGTAGAGTCTGAACTTATAACCCGTGGAACAGATGCAAAAAATGTAAACCTACTTTAGCTCAATAAGCATAATAATCAATTGTCCTTGAACACTTTGGTTGCTTCTATAACTAAGCTACTATATACAGTGTTTCGCTAAACATAGGAATGCATTTATCTCTTCAAATTATTGTTTTGCGTTCTTTGGGTAGATAAGAAGGAATGGAATGGGTGGATTATATGGTAGTTCTATTTTTTAATATTTTGGTAAATCTCCATACTGTTTTCCATAGATGCTTGACCAGCATTGTATGAAGGCTCATTCAGCAATAAAGCTGATTTGAACAGCTACTTTAAAAAAAAAAAAAAAAAAAAGATTTATTTATTGGGCCTCCCAGTGGTGTAGCGGTTGAGCGCTGGGTTGAGAAGCTGCCTGCAGCCTCTGCAGTGCCAGTTCGATCCCCGGCCACTGGGTGAGGGTCCCACATGGCGCACAGACCTCTCCTGCCACCCGCTGCTCCCCTCAGCAGTGCACATTGTCAGTCTGCCTGTTCTGCTCCCCGCTCTGGCTCTGGTGAATTCTCTCACCCTCCCGCGCTTCTGACTGTACCCAGTGCTTGTATAAATAAATAAATAAATCTTAAAAAAAATTTTTAAAAAAATTATTTATCTATGCATACGAGGACTGGGGTAAAGGCCAGAGGTGCGGGGAGGGGGAGGGTGTGGATTCACCAGAGACAGAGTGGGGAAGAAAACAGGCAGACTGACTGAAATACACTGCTGAGGGGAGTAGCAAGCGAATCAGGAGAGGTCTGCTGCATCATATGGGTAGCTCCCTGGATGGCCAGTGTTCAAACTCATGCTGCAGAGGCTGCGGACAGCTTCAGAGGTTATGTCTCAACCCCTTGCGCCACCAGGGAGGCCCTGAACAGCTAAATTGTACTATGCTTCACATCCTCCAAGAATTGCATTTTTACTGGATGGAAAACAGCATGTAGTCCACACCATGTTTACAAGTGGCTACAGACTTTGTATCAGTTAACACTGCAGGTCTACTCCAGTTAATCCTTAGTTTGGTCGTTTGGTCTATTGATATTCATCATCATGCCCTGTTTTTCAGATCTCAACTTCAGTCTGGAGTTAAGCAGTCACGTGCCTTTCTCTGAAATCATTCCTGGCCCCAGACAAGGTACTGGACCTTTGATCAAACATGTAGATTGCTGGCAATAGTACCTAAGAAAACATAAAACTGTAGGTGTAAAAATTCCTTGCACACACTTCCTGAAATGTGTCTTTTCCAGTTTCTCAGGTGTTCACATATTTTCATTGTGTAAATAATAGTGAGCTAGTTTGATTCATCACAGAAATGCATTGAAGTTTTGTTTTACATTTCCTGATAATAAATGGTTTTGACTATGTTTCATGGCCTATTGATCACCTATATCTCTTCTTTGGAGAACTATTTACCTTGTTAGTCCAGATTTTAATTCAGTTATTAGCTTTTTTTTTTTTTTTTTTTTTTTTTGCTGTGTTAGTTCTCTGTAGATCTTGCATGTTAGTTCCTTTTCAGATAGATGAATGCAAATAGTTTCTGCCATTCAGTAGGGTGCCTTTTTTTGCTTTAATGATAATCGTTTTCACTATAAAAAGCTACTTATTTTGACATAGCCCCATTAATTTATTTTTGCTTTTGTTTCCTTTGCTGTAAAATTCAAGTCCCTCTAATCCACTGGTGTAGAGTGCTTTGTCAAGTTTCTTTTCTGTGGTTTCAGGAATTAAATCTAAGTCTTTAATCCATTTTGAGTCAATTTTTGTATGTGGTGTGAGTGGTTTAGTTTCATTTTTTTGTATGTGGCTGTCCAGTTTTCCCAGCACCACTTATAAAAGAGATATTTCTTTCTGCAATATATCCTTAAGAATTTCCAGGTAGCTTGCAGGAAGACCTTCCATCCCATGGCATAAAGCTATGCTGCTTGAACTAGTCTGTCTTAAGCAGTTAGGCTGACTTATTGAAATACCACAGATTGATGGTTTACACAATAGAAATTTATTCCTCATAGGTCTAGAGCCTGGGAAAGCTGAGATCAGTGTGAAAGTAAGATCAGTTTATTCTGAGGTAACTACTTTTTAACTTGTAGACAGGCACCTTCTAACTTTGTGCTTATATGACCTCCTTTTTTGCACTCATTGTGAAATATAGCAAAGCAAGTGCTCTGGGGTCTTGCCTTATAAGAACTCTAATCCCATCATGAAGAACTCACCCTCCTGATAATATCTAAGCCTATTGCACAAGGTTCCCATCTTCAAATACCATGATGTTAGTGGTTAGAGTGTCAGCATACCAATTTTTGGGAACATGGGCATTAAATACAAAACACTGCCTGAAGATAAAAAAATATCCTTGGGACTTGGTTACCAATCCCAACTCAGTTGTTCTAGGGTCGGGGAAACAATGGAGTGGAGCTTGAAGTCACTAGAAAGAGACTGCATTATCATTCAGATGTATAATTATATATATATATATATAATTATATATCTATAATATCTATCTTCCTAGATCATATTTAGGGAGTTTGTATAATTTGTTCACATATGTGATCTAGGAAGCTAGATCCTTAAAAAAGCAAAAATGGTCATCTATCAGGATGGAAGTCCAAAATTACCTAAAAAAATAAGATCCAAGCTTTTCTTGCATTTGTTCTGTAAGATTTCCTTTCAGAAGTCTCAGAATTACTTAAAATAGCCATGGTCAACATACACTCTGAATTAGTTGTCAAATACTTCAGAATTTGTAACTGAGTGCATTCTTCTGCCTTTTCTCCCTCTTACCTTTCCTGCAACTTTTTTTGCTTTTCTTTCATCTTCTACTTTTATACAAATGTAGTCATACTAACTGTTCTGATGCATCAAAAGGATTCAGTTGTCATAAAGATGAGCCATCACAATTGTTAGTAGGAAATGATGGAGGTCAACGTTTTTGTAAGCAGATCCAGTATCATGCTTGTAGAAAAACAAGGTCCATGTTTGGATGTTCTGAATTATAAAGAAAGCTCTCATAATCACCATAGTTGCTAGAGTAGACAGATATTTTTATTATTTAGAGCTTTGAAGAACAACAATACTGTCTTCTATTGTTTCATTAGGACATCTTTCATGGCTAGCATTAGAGATAGTTAAACCAGATATTTTTAAATTGATCTTTACAGTTGAATATTGAATACAAATTATATACAAATACAACTAGCACCAATGATTGCTTGACCTTGAAAATATCTAATGAAAATCCACTTAATTGAATAATAACACACAATTAAAAATTTCCTGTAAATACTCACTGGTGGTGTGTGCAAACTGACTCTTTTGATGAATGAATAAATGGCATTAGTTTTGAGATTGTTGCTAAGCCATTAATGAATGGGCATATTTCATGAATTATTTTCAATCATTTATTTTATTTCCAAGAGATGTTTATGTCCAATCCCAATGGAATCCTAAACTTATCAAATGAGGGTATTTTTTACTCATTTCCATACACCCAGTGCCAAATACACTGCCTACTTTATAGCAAGTGTCCATTATCTATCTGGGGAAATAAAAATAATTTGTATTCATCTTGATATATTTGAGAAATTAAGAACTATATCTGATTAATAAATAATTGATTTCCATTCTTCCAAATTTTCCTGTATAACAAATGAGGCTTCACAATTGTTAGGAGGAAATGATGAATGTTAACATTTTTTTGTAAGCAGATTCGGTATCATTATGCTTGTAGAGAAACAAAGTCCATGTGTGGATGTTCTGAATTATAAAGAAAGCTCTGATAATCACCAGGCTCATGCCTCATGTTCTTCAAACCCCTACGAAGTTCAAAAGGCTTTAAAAAATTCTTGAAAATTTCTTTTCACTGGGAAATCCCTATGTTAGATAATTCTTCTGTATAATTGCCTATGGATTGGTGGTAAATCTAAGAATGTTACTTGAGTTTGACAGGCTCCACATTTAGCTTTTCATTTGTTTAATTCATGCAACTATTATTTATAGGTTGTCTATATGTGGGATATGGGGATACCCGTGGGCAAAACAAAGTCAAAATCTTTCTTCATGGAGTTTGTGTTCTAGTGAAGGGAAATAGGTACACATTAATAGAAACTTATAAATATATGACATACCATATGGTGATAAGGGCTTTTAATTTAAATAAATCAGAAAGGGGGGATATAGTGCATAGGAGTGAGAGTAATCAGGGACATCATCTTTCATAAGGTGACATTTGAGTGGAAAACTAAGGAGGTGATGTTGAGAGCCAAGGAGATGTTTGGAGAAAAATAACCATACAGAGACACAGGGACAAAGACCTGAATGTATTCAGACTAATCTAACTACATATGGTTCATTATTATTTGGTCTATTTAAAAGCAACCACTGCCCAACTGTGCAGTTGGTTACATATCTTAATTTCTTAAATCCTAGTTTCATAGATCCTCAGTTTAATTATGAGTTCTCGCAACATAGTGATTAAAATCTAACTCTTACCTTAACCAATGGAATGCATTTTCATACTACTACACTTGAAATAAATCTTAATACATAGTAAAGATATGTTTCAGCTTCAGTTATAAGATTAAATGTCCCATGCCAACATAAATGTAGAAAAATAATAATAAGATTGAAATACATTTTGGACAAAGATTCTCAATCTCAGTATTTTTTAGAAATTTAATCAATAATAAAGATAAAACATTTTCTTAATAAGTGAAGTCTTTAAGTTATTAAAAATATTGGAAACAAAGGACAGGACATGCTAAAGAAATAGACATGATAACATCTGATTGACTTCTCCGGTAGAGCACTGGGAACACATTTAATGCGGAAAGTACATGCCTGTTGAAAGATGTTTAAGAATCGTTTGAAATATGTTGTAGAAATTTTAGTGGCAATTTGTTAGGCAATTTTCTATTATTTGCTATAGTTAACTAAATAGATCAAATTCCAAAGCACATGACTTGTCTGAATTATCTGTCATAAATCTCTCCTGTGTCATAATCATTGCCTTAATCATTGTTAATGCATTTGCTTAAATTTAAAATTTTATTTTCTTGAGACAAACATCTAGCAAGACACAAAGGTTTTGATATTGCTCATTTTTATCTCAGTTATTTAAGCACCATTATTAAATGATAAGCTGTATCAAAACAAACAAAACTTAAACATCCACCATCTAACCAAGGAGGTGAACACTAGTGGATTAAAAAAAAATAAGGTTTATACACAAGAATGTAAAATCATTTTAGGAAGATTAGCTGTATGTATAAATGATGCTAGCATTTCAGTGAAAGAAAGAAAGCAAATTCAGTTAGGATTGCCCGTTGGCCTCTATCACTTCTCTAATCTGTCCTGTTATCTCAAGCCCCACACATGCACTGATTGTCACCACTTGTATCATCCAACCTTCTTATTACTCTTCTTGTCTCTGCTCCTTCAAGTTCCAACCAGCCTTCTGCAGACACATCCTGGGAACCCTAGCCCTCAGGAAGGTTAGCACAGAGGTCCATCCAGAGGTCAAGGTAGCTGTAGTCTGAGCTGGGTGCCTGGCCTGTCTCTACTAGAGTCAAGCTCAAAGTGGAGAAGTGCTCATCATGCAAACGCTCACTTCCTGTAAGCTAAAGAGGAACAAAGTCAAGTGAGAAAAAGTATTTAAAAATGCAAATATAACCATGTTTTGCCTCTGGGTAAAATATATCAATGTTTCTACATCAAACAAAAGATTGAGAACCAACTCCTTACTCCATCAGCTTCCTTTCTTGCCTCCACAGTAAATTCACCCAACATCAGTCACCTCTGGATAGGTATTTCATAATTATCTGATAATATTTTACTAAAAAAAATAAAGATAAATAAACAATACAAAACCTACTTATGAATGTATACATATACTAAATTCTACTGTCCATTGTTTAAAAAGGAACACTGTAAAAAATATGTTAAAAAATAAGCAAAAAATCTGTCTGAAGTATTTTTTATGTCACTACTGCTATACGTATTTTAGACATTTTTGATTGAAAGATCTCTAAATTATTTTGTTTATATAATTTTCAATGACTTTATATAGATATGTCTGCACACACACATTTATTGTAGTTTGTACTACTTATTACACACTACTTATTGTAGGTGTACTATACGGCA